GACCCAGCCCCAGACCCCGACCCAGACCCAGACCCAGCCCCAGACCCAGACCCAGACCCAGCCCCAGACCCAGACCCAGACCCAGACCCAGACCCAGACCCAGACCCACACCCACATCCACACCCTAGATGTGTGGGTGTTTTTGAGGTGGAAGAGAAGAACTACACTCACACCCACACCCGCACCCAAACTCTATAGGTTTTTTCTGTGAGGATTCATTCGACAAAGGGCACCAGTTTTATTCTTTCGGATAGACATTAGGAAGTAGAGATCTTTAGATGTGCAAGTCCAAGCACTTCAATATGTAAAATACCTTATAGGATGAAACCATCGAAAAATTGACGTCAGTTGTATAAACCTTCGTATTTTTGAGAACCAGTGCTTCATTACTATACTTTTCCACCTTCTTACAGACGGGCCATATCAAGTAAAATGCTCCTCTGTTAGATTTTCGGAGAACTTCAAAATAAGTCTCAAATTTGGATTTGAGCTCACTGAGTGCAAAGTGAGTCGCTCCACAAAGTATTTACTTTGCGTTTCCAGCAAAACCTTCTTCTTCGCAGTGAATTCGAACAGTTCGTGCTTTCTCCAAGGTTCGACTGTACTTGTCAAAAGCAATTTCCGTAGTTTTTATGATGAAAATTTCAGTAGAATTGCAACTATTGTGAAAATATTCCTCTTATGATTCTGCTTAGCACCATCGATAATTCGATGTTTTCGAGCTATTCACTAGAAAGCAACTAATTTCATAAGAATGAGTGCGAAAGCGCGGCCAAATTAATGACAAACCAGATATTGAGATTTGAACTGTTTCAACAGACGTGATCGGCTAGTTTTCATTACTCCATCAAAGATTTTCGTTATTTTGTTTACCCTATTTCAGGGTGTGTGTAGAGAAAAGATCTACACTCATAACCTATTTACCCGACTAATGCCGAAAGGTAAAACTGTGGGAAGAAAAATGTCGAAAGTAAAAATGAAGGATGTAACAATTCCGAAATTTAAAAATACCTAAATATAGAAATGTTGAGATCTTAAAGTCTCGAGTAAAAGAAATATCGAAAGTAAAACTGTCGAAATATATGGTGTATGTGTTGGTGTGGATGTGGATGTTAAACTGTTCTCTTCATCCACACCCGACACCCACACCGACCCCGAAAATAATTATTCTTTCTTGCGCTCCGATGAATCAGATCAGAACAAATCGTTTATGCGCGTTTCTCATGGGATTTATTCGTCTCTTATAATTCATGTTCAACCCAAAATGAAAGTTGAAAATTTTGTCTTTTGCAGCTTCGAAAATTCATCAATTTTTATTATGGAAAAAGAAAGTGGACAAATCAGACGAAAAGCACTTGGCCGTGGTGGCGAGCTTGGCACGCTGTATGATGCTCGTACGGATAAACTTCTACTTGGAAATATCTTCAATAGTAAGCTACCTGAAGATGCTCTGTGCGAAATAGACTGCCACAAATCGGATTTCAAATATGATGAGTCGAATTCATGGTCCACAACACTAGAAAAGCTGAATATTGAAGCCGAGCTCAAGCTGAACATTCTCTCGGGACAGGTAGACATCGAAGGAAATGGCAAATATCTAAAAACAGTGAACAAAAGTGCACGAGTTGATCGAGTCACTCTCTCGTGTATGTATCAGACAACACGACAATCGGTACGGATTGGCTTCAAAGGTGCCAGTGAATGTATTTGTTCAATTGCATTCGAAGATACACAAGCAACACATGTTATTACAGACATTTTATGGGGTGCTAACGTATTTGCTACTTTCGATCTGCAGAAAACGACAAATAGCACACAAGCTGACGTTTCAGGAAAACTTAAAGCATCAATAACAAAGTGTGCGGCATTGCTCAAAGCGGAAGGCGGTGTTGAGGCTGGTTTTCAAGATCATGAGGATTTCGAAAAGAATCAGCTCAGTATTCACTTTTCTGGTGACATCGAAATGGACAAGATACCGATCACTTTTCATGACGCCGTAGCCATGATTCCAGAGATTCCAAATAAATATAAAAAACTTAATCAGGGGCGTGGCGTTCAGATCGAATACACATTCAGTCCGATTGAAGAAGTGGCTCGCTACGTACGTGACAAGCTGCCATCACGATTAGAATCGACCATCATTATGAAAAGTAGCGATGCACTGGTCAAACGCATCGAGTATACGTTCGATGAACTTTTACAAGAAAGCCGCGAGATTTACTCGTGGATCGAGACTTTCAATTCGTTTCGTGATCATTTGCCAAGAAAAGACATGTCGAATGTTACACTGGCCAAGGTAGATATGGATAGTGCTATGGCGAATTTTCGTCAGCAGCTTCGTGAATATCTGGTGATGCTAAGAACGAATGCTGAAGAAGCAAAAAGAACCGAGCAACTTATCTACAAGTTGTTGAAGGAACAACTGGAAGGTGCTAACAAGACAACAAGAGCATTCGTTGATACTTATCGCGTATTAAAGAACAAATGTGAGGTAGTTCATCGATTTCTTGAATTGAACATCGAATGTTCACTGTTGAGCACGACATTACGCGAATCAGAATTGCAAAATCAAGATGTGCATGTTCTTCGAACCAGTACATATCTTCAACAGGTGAAACCTGATGAATTTGACGAGCAGTGCGAACATCTGATCGTATTACGAAAAGATAAGAAAAACAACAATGCGCGATTCATTCTACTAGATTACGACGGTAATAAGTCGGGTCTAACAACCACATTCATTCAGCATTACCAAAAACAAGCAAGTGAGTATCGCGCTAATATTGATGTTTTGCAGCATGCTTAAGTCGATTTATCGGAGCATTCGTTTTGCAGCATACAGTGTGATACCCTTCATACAGAAGAATCCCTTTCAGCAATGTCGATGTTGAATTAGATCAACATTGTTTCTGAAAAGTTTGACTCCGACCACTAGAGAACTGCAAATCGGACCCGGTCGGGTCTAGACCCGGACCCGGTGTTTTTTTTTCATGAGGGTGAAAATTTGAAAAAGAGATCACGTAATATTTGACACATTCATCATATTCCAGCCATTTCAGATAGTTGATTCAAATATTACGTGATCATTTTTCAAATTTTCACCCCCATGAAAAAAACCACCGGGTCTAGACCCAGAACCCGGTTGCCATGGAAATGCAGCTCTCTACCGATCACACTCACGCCAGAATGCATTGAAACCTATCTATGAACAAGTCACAAATTCGTTTCTTCTTGCATTAAGCATAGGAACAATTTTTGGAGAGATGAATAAAAGAGTTCCTCGTATTGCAAAGGACTAGAGCAAATAAGACTATATAGCGGTCTTCTTCTGAATTGACTCGTTTTTGTCCGATTCAAGTCAACCATGGCCTCTGACCATATTTCAGGAGTTATTTTCCCGAAAACCACTTTCAGGTTTTACATCCCTGCGGCTCTCCCCAGGTCTGATGAAAAACTTTCTATTTTCAAACTGATCCAAAACCGCATACGGTTATATAGTGATAGATGCTGATTACGAATATCATAATTAGAGCTCATGAAATCTCATTGCTTCATAAATAGCCGGGACCATATAGTAGGTCGCAAAGTCACATTTCGGAGTTCTCATGCACAAACCAAACGAAAATGTTTGAACAAAACCTAGGCGGCACGGACTCAAGAGTTTGCTCTCTACTCGAATCTGATATTTTTCGAAACAAAAATATAAAGTTTCAACAAAACAGGCCAATGATGGGGTGAAAACGACT